TGGATGGATGGATGGATGGATGGATGGGTGGATGGATAGATGGGTGGATGGATAGATGGATGGATGGATGGATGGATGGATGGTTGGATGGATGGATTCACTGCTTTTCTCTGGGCTCTATACCCCCATCTACAATTTAAAGGTGTTCAACTTGATCTCTATGGCGCATCAAGCTTCTGGATTCCACATCCCTAGTGTGAGTATCTTCAGGTTCCTTCCCCGCCCCCTACAGCATACCAGAGCCTGCAAATCCTGAGAATCACGCAATAACCCTTCGGCTGCAATCATTCTTTCTGTAAGCGTCATCATGAGCTGTCGGGCTTTGGAGCTGGAACACTTAAATTGGTCCGTAAGAAAGTGCTGGATGTTTTCCATCTGTTTCCAGAAAGCTTCCATCTGTGAAATGAGAATGAAAAGCAAGAGGTGGGTGTAGAAAACTTATTTAAGAAAGTTATAAAGCTAGACGGTTCATGCTTGAGAATTACAATTCATTCCTTATCACACACTAAGATTCTAAATATTTCTGCAATTGGGAGCGAATTTATCTTGGCAATAATCGAATTCTATAGAGAGGTTCCTCCTTGGTGTATTGTAGGTGCCAGTCAGTTTCAAGGTGGCTTTTCAGCAAACACCAATGCTCTGCTGATAAGGAAGGGCAGGCACAATGAGATCACCTAGCGTAAACAGCTTAAAGACTCTTAAACAGGCCATGATTGCTGCCTGGGGAGTGCGTGAAATTCGCCAGTGTGATCCTGGAAGCTTCCATATCTCCAAAAGGGATTAACCATGTTCTGGAAATAAAAGCACGAATGGCCATTTACATTTCAGTTATTGCTCTAAAAGTACAAAAGAGCAATATGGCAGAGACATTGCTGACCATGAAAACATTCTGCTTCAAAATCGTTTTCCTCTGGGGGCCTGGGTGGCTCAGTTGTTAAGCATCTGCCTTCGGCTCAGGTCATGGTCCCAGGGTCCTGGGATTGAGCTGCGCATCGGGCTCCCTGCTCCTCGGGAAGCCTGCTTCTCCCTCTCCCACTCCCCCTTCTTGTGTTCCTTCTCTCGCTGTATCTCTCTGTCAAATAAATAAATAAGATCTTTAAAAAATAAAAAATAAATAAAATAAAACCGTTTTCCTCACCCCCATCTCATCAGGAGGAGAGGTGGGAATCATCGAGTGGCTGAGAATGTCAAGGCTCATCCAGCCTCCTAGAGCTCCAAGAATCAGGATACTAGCAGTCATAACCACCTCCCTTTCTGGCATGCAGGTAGGTACCAGGCTCTGTGCCCCACCCATTTTGTGTCCGGGTAAAATGTCTATATAGGGCCGGCTGCAGGAACAGCCTCAGAAAGTTAGGTCACCGGTCATAGGTCACAGAGCTGGGAGGTAGGGGCAGAGTTGGGGCAGATCCACTGAACTCCCCAAGCTGTGGCTTTTCTCCACTGTGGCTCGGCCTCTCCGACTTCTAAATTCGTCTGGGTGCCTCTTGCTGCACAGGGCATGGGCATGGGAGGGGTCGGGGCTGAGTAGCACCAGAAGCCTGCCCTGACCTTGTGGCACGGGCGGAAAGGTGGAGACAAACGCAACCTGAAACACTGAGTCACTCTGACCAGCCACGTCCTAGGGGCCGCACACGGCCTAGAGGAAGCCCACACCAGGGTGGGCAGGCCCTTTGTGCCCTCAGTGATTTGTGTCCCAGCCGGGCGGCAGCCCATCTATCAAACCTCTGGCCTCCCTCCCGCTCCCGGCCCCGCACCGGTTGGCTTCCCTCCCGACTGCTCTAAGAGGACGTGACTATCACCTGTGACACCCACCCACCTCCAAACAGAGTTGAATGTCCAGCCAGCATTGTTGCTTCTCCGTCAGCCCCAGAGAGCCAGGATACCCACTCTGTTCCTAAAAACTCTTGATTCATTTGGCGTCCGTGACATGATTTTCTCCCGGTCCCTCAGAGTCCATACTCTGCCTTCCTGTCTCAATTCTCCTTGGCCCCTCTTCTTTAAATGCTGGCAGGATCCTAGACTGGGCACCAGGTGCCTTTCCCTACCCTTTCTATACACACCCTAGGCCAGGGTTTCTCCACTGCTGGAGGTCACCATACGTCCAAGAATCCTGGGCATACTATGAATCATCTGCCTGAAATATGCAGATGTGGACATGCGGGTCCACTGCTTTGGGGAGCCCGTGGACCCAGGAATCCAGGCTGAGCCCCCTCCCCCTGCCACTCATGCCATGAACATCCTCGCTCCCCATGTCCTCTGACCCAAGTTTAGTGGAGGCTCTCCATCTTCAGGCATCTCCACCTCAAGATGTCAAGTCAGGACTCACCAGCTCTTCTCCCAACTTGCTTCTCGTTCTGGGATCCTTATTTCCGTAGAACTAATCCTTTACACCCTCTTCTCCTCCAAACCTCCTTTTCTGCTACCCTATCAGCTCTCCCACTTTTTCTTACCCCTCTATTCCTACTGCAACTGTCTTCATGAAATTTTACTACTGCCCTAGCCCCAGAGCGCATACCTATCCTCCACTGAGCAGCCCGAGCTGTCCTTCTAAGACAGAAATGGATCCACCTGCCTTCTACTGCCAAACTGCAGTGACTCCCACCTCCTTGGCACAAGATGAAAACCCTCAGGCCAGATCTCTGGCTTTCTCTGGCTTTGCTTCTCCTCAGTCCTCCTTGGCTCCCTTCTTTGCCTGCACACAGGCCAGCATCCACCCACACTTCTCCCAAAAGGCCTCTCGATGGGTCTCTTCTTCTATGAAGATTTTCCTAACCCAAGGATAAAACGGATTCCTCTCTCCCCTGCGCCTCCGCCTTCTAGTGTTTTCATCTATCACAACGCTTGCAAGCTATAAAATCCAAATCTGCTCACCCGTCAGTCCCCCTACTAGGCTAGCCTGTGCGTCTCTCTGGCAAGGCCAGGTCCAAGGGCATTCTGAATCCCCAGTGTGCAGCACAATGCTTGGGTGCAAAAAAACAAAACAAAACAAAATAACCCTATTTAATACCTAATATAGGAACAAGGGGTAGTGGAATGGAAATGCAAAAAAGGGATATTTGAAGGAAGCCACCCTCTTTGGAATTTAAAGCAGGTATTTATAGTGATGCCTGGGGTCAAAAAGTTAGCAGCTAGCATCTGCTCTAATCCACAGGGCAGTAATGACATACAGGGTTAGAGCAGACTTCGCTCTGAATGACAAAAAGATCAATCTAAAATTTAAACAAGGGGGATTCGTTTTTTTTTTTTTTTTTTTAAACTCTGTAAATCTTTGCCCCTTAATTATACCTTCTCTGTCACTTACTTTCTGAAACTGGATCCCTGGCTTTGGGGCAGAACACGTCAGGGATTTCAAGTCTTAAACATGCTTCTAGGTGCTATCTCTTTAATCTTGTTAATTTAACTGCCCCAGAAACCAAGGTTTTTATAAGAAAAAAGAAAAAAAATCCATCGCATACATTATCTATTAGCTGCTCGGAGTATTCTCGCTCCTTCTTTTCCACATCTGCCAGAGTGATGTATTCAGAATCACCAGCCCCCAACATTTCCGTGTTTGACAGTTTGACCTGAAGTCCCTTTTCTAATTCCTCCAAGTCCTGGGGAAAACAGAAAAAGGTGGGGGGTGGGGGGGAATAAACAAAGGAAAATTCTAATATATCTTAAATTCTAGAAAAGAAATGCTTTCATCTTTCACCACATTATCACAAAATATTTCTTAACCATAATTAGCTGCTTTAGGCATTGTCCTACTTAAGTTTGATGATAGAAATCTATTTTTCTCATTAGACATAGAGTCTCAAGAATACTGGATTCTTTTCTTCTATATTGCTCCCTCCCTCCCCTCAAAAAAAATAGAACATACTTTAATAAATGGTAAATTAGTCTCTTTCATTTCTTACAAAGTCTTGGAAAATGCGGGGGGTTGCGAGGGAATGCTTCTTCCCCACTCCTCTGGTTTCCGTGGGGAAGGATTAGTCACCACAACCCAGGAAGGGTGGGACGTGATGTGATTGGTGGGTTCAACAGCAGGAAGTGGCACCCTTAGCTTGTCCAGCCTCTTCCTCTTTGGCATGGGCCGTTCATGGGGAGGCCATGGCTGTGGGGTGTCCTCAGCTCAGGGTGCTCTGGGTAGTGAAGGGCCTGCCGCAGAGGTGGCGGGCTTGGTCAACACCGAGGCAGGCAATCTGGTGAACCCTGGGATTCAGAGTGCGCGGAAGCTGAGTCCTCCAAGCTGGCCTCTCCGTAGTGAAGCCGACTTTTCTGTGCGCGTGTCCCTGACCCTTTGTTATCAGTTCAGAATTGCGGAAGGACGGGGGGACCCTCTATAGGGAGTCCCTCTGGCCCCGAGGTGGAGGCTGGGAGGAGCCCTATCTTCTCCAGAACTGTGCTGGGAGACCTGGAATCCGCCCCGGCGCGCCCCCAGCCTCACTAGGGAAAACGATGCCAATAAAAATTGCTTCTGCGCGTCCAGGCCGAGGCGGTGCATGGTTTCGGGCCCTCGCGGCATCACTTCAACAGAGCAGGGCTGGCTCCTTCCAGCTGAGGAGCCTGGTGCTTGGGGAGTTGGGGTGTTTCCTCCGGAGTCTCCTCGCGGTAGGAAGTGGCACGCTGGGCTGGTCCCTCAGCCCCACCGACCCCAGATGCCCACTCCTCCAACTGCGCACGTCCCCATCACGCTGCTTCTCTCCCAAGAGCAGCTGCGGGTTCTGGGCACCACTTGTCCCCTTCTAGAAGTCGGGGGGCCATCGTGAGCAAGCACTTGGCCCGACTCACTCTCAATCAGCAGCCACCACCATTGTGATTAACATGCTCTATAGGTGCTGGCTGTGGAGTCAGATCCGGGGTCTGCAGACGGCAAAGCTCTTACTCTTGCCCTAGAACCCCACTTCATTATTATGTGTGGAATGACCGATATCACCATGATCATCATTATTTATTCATTGGGGAGTCACTGAAACTGTGAGCCTCAGTTTCCTCAGCTGTAAACAAAAATAATAATAATAATGGCCACTCACAGGGCTGCCGTGAAGATGGAATGAAATCACGTGTGAAATGCACTATAATATGTGTGCATTGCCTGATGAGGACGATCCTGGTAGCGGTGGTCCTGAGGATGGTGCTGGTGACAGTGATGATGCACCGCCTCCTTCCTGGGGTGCAGTGCTTCATCCTTCCCCATGGGATCCAGAGGAATGGGGGAGAAACATGCCCTCCCGATCCCCCACATCTCATGGGGCGGTGATGGGGAAGATGGCAGCGGTGGTGGTGATGATGAGGTTGATGAGGAAGATGGCTGTTGTGGTTGTCAGGAAGATGTGGGCAGCTATCATGATTTAGGGTCTACTACTTTGCTAGATGCTTCATAGACACTTCTCTTAGCCCTTCCATGATCCCGCTGGACGGGAATCACTATCCCATGGCACAGGAGGAACCTGGGATCCTGAGAGTTTGTGAAAGAAAGAACCAGAGTTCAACCTCCACCAGTCAGACTCCAAGACCTGGCTCGTTTCACTGCACATAAAGCAACATAAACTCCATACAAAAGCCTGAGAGGAGCAGAATGCACCATAGTATAAAGAGTTAAAACCAATAAATTAATTAGGTATTTAAAAATACCCAACCTAGGGGCGCCTGACTGGCGCAGTCGGTTGGGTGTCCGACTCTTGATTTTGGCTCAGGTCATGGTCTCAGGGTTGTGGGATTGAGCCCCACTTTGGGCTTCACACCCAGCAGGGAATCTGCTTCTCCCTCGGCCCCTCCCTGCCTGCTTGGGCTCTCTCGCTCTCTCTCAAATCAATAAATAAAAACTTGACAACAACAACAAAAACCTAGGAGTGCCTGGTTGGTGCAGTCGGTTAGGTGTCTCACTTTTTTTTTTTTTTAAGATTTTATATATTTATTTGACAGAGAGAGACACAGCGAGAGAGGGAACACAAGCAGGGGGAGTGGGAGAGGGAGAAGCAGGCTTCCCGCTGAGCAGGGAGCCCGATGCGGGGCTCGATCCCAGGACCCTGGGACCGTGACCAGAGCCGAAGGCGGATGCTTAACGACTGAGCCACCCAGGCGCCCCTGGGTGTCTCACTCTTGAGTTCAGCTTAAGTCATGATCTCAGGGTCCTGGGATCGAGCCCTGCATCAGGTTCTGCGCTCAGCATGGAGTCTGCTTGGGAATCTCTCTCCCTGTCCCACTACCCCTCCCCCTGCTCTCTCTCTCTCTCTCTCCCTCTCTCTCAAATAAATCTTAAAAAATAAGTAAATAAAAACGCCCAACCTTGTGCAGAAGATAACAGTAACAGTGGTTCTGAGTAGCAGGTATGACCAATATTCTTCTCGTTTTCCTACTTTCAATATTTTTCCAAATTTTAATAATACCTATGGTCATTTTTGTATTTGTACACATATTTTTACATAATTGCATTGTGTTCAAAAGCATATATTGTAATAAATTATTCTTACACATGAAAAAGATAGTTTCTTACAATATTATGTTTTATATATCATAATAAGCTATTTTTAAGTAACCTTGAAATATAGATTGAAGACTTACTTACATTTTCTTGCTTCGAAAGAATCCTCTGGTATAATTCATCATCAGACTTCTTTTTAGGAAGAACATCAAGGAGGCACATTTTTAAAATCTGAATAAACATCTGTTGCCAAGAAGGGAAACATAACAAGAGAAAGGCTTAGAAATGGTGTCTCCCTCTCTATCCGTCCCTCTGTCCCTTTCTTCTCTCTCTCTCTCTTCATGCACACATACTTGCTGCTGGGGGAAATATCTCAGGTTATAAATCATGACAATAGCCTATAATGGACTGTATTTTCATGCAGCTTCTAAGGAAAAATGCTTCACTTCTTTTGCTTTTCATTCATTTATTCAAGAAATGTTCATTAGGTGCCTGCTCTGTGCCAGTCCTTCTGCATTTCCCCGTACAAGTCAAGAAAACATAAAAGGTAAAGGGGGGTTGCTTCTTTGTGGGAAGACTCAGAGGCACAGTTGCTTGGAACTGGGATGTATAAAGTTCATCCACTCCGGCCTCCTGTCATGATGGATGGAGGTGTCCTCTACACCAGAGAGGGTCCTCTCGTAAGTGGGGACATCCAGGACCATCCAAGAGTGCTGTCTCCACACCTACCATTCACCTACTGTAGGACATCTGGGTGTTTCCAATTTGCGGCTATTGCAAACAAAACTAGTAAGAACATCCACGTATGGGTTTCTGTGTGAACCTAAGATTCTCCGCGGTTAAATGCACCAAAGTGCAATTGCGGAGTTTTGTGAGAAACTGCCTGTTTTTCAGTGTGGCACTCAGCATTCCCACCAGCAATATGTGCGGGATCCAGTTTCTCCCCATCCTTGCCAGCGTCTGGTGATGTCACCATTTGTTATTTTGGCCAATCTGATAGGTGTGTAGTCATGTCTCATTTTTTAAATATATATCGTTTTAATTTGCACTTCTGTAATGGCTAATGCTGTCGGGCATCTTTTACCCGATTGTGTGTGTGTGTGTGCGTGCGTGTGTGTGTGTGTGTGTGTGTGTGTGTGTGTTTACCTGTCGACTGTATATCCTCTTTGGTGAAATGTTTGTTCATGGCTTTTGCCCTTTTTCTAATTGGATTGTTTACTTCTATGGAGGTTTGAGCGTTCTTTATATGTTTTAGGTGTGAGTCCTCTGTCGATACGTGATTTGCGAATACTTCTCTTTCTCCCCATCCTCTTTAACAGGGTCTTTTGCAGAGCACAAGTTTATAATTCTGATGAGGTTCAATTTATTAGTTTTCCCTTGTGTGGGTCACACTCTCAGTGTGAAGTCTAAGAAAGAACTCTTTGCCTTTGAGTTCATTTTTGCATGGGGTGGAGGTTTGGCTTGAGGTTCGGATGTGTCTGCTTCTGGATGTCTGATTGCTGCAGTACCACTTCCTGAAAAGTGTATCACTCCTCCACGGAACTGCTTTTGCTCTGTCGTCAAAGGTCAGACATATTTGTGTGGTGAGGCACTTTAGTACAGGGCTTAGCAAATGTTTTCCTGTAGAGGGCCACACAGTAAACGTTCCTGGGTTTGCGGGCCATACTATCACTTTTGCAGCCATCGGATTTTGCTGTTCCAGCATCGAGGCAGCCGTGGGCAATAGGGACAAGAACAGGCATGGCTGGATTGGCCCAGGGGCCACAGTTTGCAACCCTTGTTTTAAGGTTTGTTGAACACTGTTCTATGCCAAGCTAATATGTATATTATTCCATTTGGTTTTTATAGCATGCAGGACATTGGCACAATCTTCCCCATTTTACAGACAAGGAACTCTTCGGCTGAGAAATCTGGATAACTGGCTTCATGTCACAAGGGACAGCCATGAGGGACAGAACATAGAACTTTCCACCAACCTTCCTTATGCTCGTCAGTGCTAACGAGCTCTAGGAACACAATGTCATCTTGGCTTTCTACCCACTGAAGTCGAGGCCACGTAAGGTGACGTTCTTTTCTCAAGATGTTGGTCTCAAACCCACTTTCGTTTTGACCCCAGACTGAATCCGTGGTGTGCACTGGTCTTGTCTCATTCCTTTCAATTAAAAAAATTTTAATTTGGAAAAATTACAGAGACAGAGTCAGAGGAAGGTGCCAAACCAGTACAGAGTCCTGTGGGTTCTGTCGCCTGGGCGATATATGACGTCACTGTGGGACAATATCAAACCCCAAACTGACATTGACTTTGGTCCGATGCAGTTTACTACAGACTTCACTCCGTTTCCACTTACTGTCACGTGTATTTGTGTGTGTGTGTGTGTGTGTGTGTATGCAACTTTACTCCAAGTACGGTTTCATGCAATCACCACCACAATCAAGACAGAGAATGTTCCAGCACCAGGAGAATCCCCTAGGCCGAATGATCCCTCTATTGGCAAGCCCCCGACACACACATCCCCTAATCTCTGCTGTTCTCGCTGCCATTCTGATTTTAACGGTGTCAAATGCAGCTTCTGTCCACCTCCTGACAAGGCGAGTGTCAGTTTCTCCCCAAAGGACCACCAGGGAGCTCTGAGCTCCTGGCCTGCATGACGGTCACATCTGCTCCGAGTCACTTTTTTTAAAATTTGTTAGTGACATAGAGTGGACACACAGTGTTAGGGCAGTTTCAGCTGCACAACACAGTGACCCCCCCAGCTTCAGTCTGAGTCACTTCTGAACTGACCTGTGTGGACGGATCTCTCCCAGAGAAACGGAACTTGAGGTCTCCGTGAGCGCTGGTGCGGTTCCCCAGGTCCCGCACCCAACGAAGATATGCCCCGTAGGGAGGGAAAGGCCACGGATGGAGAGTGGTCCCCCAGGGCGATGTCAGTGTCCGTGGGCACATTTCTGTGGAGCACCTACTGTATGCAGGCACACAGACCTTGAGCTCAGACCTCATTTGGGTTCTGTGTCTGCCATTCACCAGCTGTGTGATTTGGGGCAACTGACCCGACCTCTCTGAGTCTCAGGTTCCTCGTGAGTGAAAAACAACAGTAAGGCTTCCTTGAGATCAAGCATTTAGAGGGCTTAGCCTAGCAGAGTTTTCGTGCTTCACAGGCGGGTCTGCGATGGTGCTGGTCACACAGCCCAGCAGAGCCTGGAGCTCTGTCTACACAGACCCTTCAAAACAGGACAGGTTCACTTCCTAGTAATTCTATGGGGTGAGAGCTGAAGAACATTATCTTTATACTTTCCTAAAGTGGCCCAGAGAGGGGAAGTGACTTACTCAAGGTCACACAGCTCATCCGTGTGGGAGGGTGGACCAGAACCCAAGTCTCTGACTCCTAGTCTAGGGCTCCTTCCCCAGCTTCCAGCTGACGTGTCTCCCCCCAGGGAAGCCTGGCCATCTGCCCCACACTCACTCAGTCCCCCCCTCACACATGCTCACGGCGCCGTATGGTTTGCTCCACGCAACTGTCCGCCGTGGTGCATTTGTGCGGTTCACTGCCTTCTCCCGCCGGAGAGTGGGCCCCACACAGGCGGGGGCCGTCCCTGGTACCGTGCCGGGCAGGGAGGAGAGGCTACATAGGGGTAAGACCCACAGACAAGTGACGGTGGATGTCTTCTCCGTGACAGCAAGCTGCTTCCCCGCGGGCATCTGCTGGCTGCTCTGGGGGCGAGGCAGCCAGCCGGATGGGGCTCCGAGCACAGACACTGTCGGCCCTCCAGGGGGCACAGAGCCTTTGAGAGGACTGCCAGGGCCACCTGCCTGCTAGCGGGATGGGATGTGGCCGAAGGAGAGCAGGCCGCCGCCGCACCTGGGCTGCTGCCTCAAGGCCACGGGCTCCACCAGGACCGTGGGGCCGCGGGAACAGGCTCTATTTCCAGAGTTCTGGTATGATTCCTGGTTTCCAGCACAGGCCCCTGTTTACGAGGCCCATCCTGCTCTCACAGAGCTCCTGTGTCTTTCTACTGCTTCTGCAACTTGATGTTTATTTTTTTCCAGTGTCTAACCAAGCACCCCGTGGGCACATCTGTCTCTGTCACCCTCTCCGTCGACCCGTCTCCCTTTCTCTTTCCAACAGGCTCCCCCTCTGTAGGTCTCATCCCTCATTCGATAATTTGGGAGAAATAACTTCTCTTTTGAAGCTCCATGGCCCCGAGGCCTGGCCAGCCCCGCCCGGGGGTTCTGCAGCTTAGCTTCGGCGGGACACGTCTCCTTGGCTTCCTCGCTGCTCCTTCACCCACTCAGAGAAAGCAGGCCTATGAAAAGGTACCAGACGTCCCATGTCAGCTCCAACTTAGGGCTTTACGACTCTGGACGAGTCCTCTCTGTACCACCGTAACCTTGTCCGTAATGTGGGATAATAATGGCACCCACCTCTCCAGGTTGCGGTGAGGTTCACGGCTGACCGCCAGTGTGACATGCCCAGGGCCCAGTTCGTAGTGAGCAACCATCACAGTCGGCACGCATAAACATTGTTGTTACTATTAGCATTCCTTCAGAAGTGCTGGCGAGCTTGGGGAGAAAGGGAACCCCTCTCACACTGCTGGCGGGAATGCAAGCTGATGCAGCCTTTCGGGAAGACAGGATGGAGGGTGCTCAGGATGAAAACAGAGCTACCCTATGACTCTGCAATTGCATTACTGGGTATTTACCCCAAAGGTACAAACGTTGTGATCCGAAGGGGCACCTGCACTCCAATGTTTATAGCAGCAGTGTCTAAAATTGCCAAACTATGGAAAGAGCCCAGATGTCCCCTGACAGATGAATGGATAAAGGAGATGTGGTATACATGTACAGTGGAATACTACTCAGCCATCAGAAAGGATGAAATCTTACCGTTTACATCGACATGGATGGAACTAGAGGGTCTTATGCCAAGCGAAATAAGTCAGTCAGAGAAAGACAAATACCATATGATTTCACTCATATGTGGAATTTAAGAAATAAAACATGACCATAGGGGAAGGGAGGGAAAAATGAAATAAGATGAAATCAGAGATGGAGACAAACCATAAGAGACTCTTAACTCTAGGGAACACACTGAGGGCTGCGGGAGGGGAGGGGGGTGGGGGGAGGGGGTAACTGGGGGATGGGCATGAAGGAGGGCACGTGAGGGGATGAGCACTGGGTGTTACGTGCAACTGATGAGTCACTGACCTCTACCTCTGAAGCTAATAATCCACTATATGTTAATTAAATTGAATTTAAATTAAAAAATAAAAATGCTGTTCTCTTTCCAACACCTTTTACCTGTCTCCACCAGGAGGTGACCTGTGGGAGGAGGTTCTCATCTGTCTGCCTCGCCCCGCAGCTCCCAGGAAAGGAGAGCCCGTGCCCCATCAGCAGGCACACATTGCTTCTGTCCCTTCTTGCCCCAGAGGCTCCACGGTCACCGGCACACATCCCCAGAGGGTACTCAGGACTGTGTGCCCGCGGAGAGCCACGTTCAGGACCCGGGAAAGGGCGAGCGGCCCACCCCACCACCTACCATGTGCTTCTCCTGCCTCAGCGCCGTGTCCAGATGCAGCAGATCTTTTAAGTGAAGGTTATAGATACACAAGTCAAGGTCCACACTGAAAAGTGGAAAGAGAAACAGAAAGCCACTGAGAGTATTTGAGATGGGGAGTTAATGCATCCAGGGTTCCAGGGAGTTAGCGCATCCCCGCTCAGTACAAGCCTCGGTGCATCCTGACTCCAGATTTTAAGCTCTGCAGTGTCCAGAGATGCCTAAGAGCTGCCCCAGGTTTATACGAAGGAATCAAGGGAACTACCTGAAACTCACTTGTGACCAGAGGGGAGCAGCTGCCCGAGACATGAAGGGCAGGAGGCAGCAAGAGTCGGAGGTGGGAGCAAAGAGGGATCACACCCACCCCTTCCCGGCACCGGAATATCGAGTCATGTGTCACCTCTCTTCTGCCCTGCAGGCAGACGTTCTCATGCCCATTTCACAGATGGGGAAACGGACTTAGGAAGTCAAGTAGCTGTCACACGGTCACAGGGCAGGTAAGTGGCAGAGAGGATTGGACCATCTGTCCTGCGCAGGCAAATGTACTTTGAAGGGACACACCCCCACCCAAACTGTGACAAGGCCACTAAGTCCCAAAGCTCATCAACAGCCTTTCCCAGCCAGCGGACCGAGCCACCGTCCAGGTCAGCACCCAGCTCAGGGTCTAGGCCCTCTCCTTCCACAGCCCTGAGCCGAGGTTGGGTCTGGTTCATCTCACCAAGGAAGGGCCACTTGGACTCACCAAACTTCACAGAGCAGAGAGGTCTGAGGACTGATGCACAGATGTGCTGATTCAGTTTCTTGGGCCTCTCCAGTGTGCTGAGTGGTTTGGTGATTTAGAGCATGGACTTTGGCGATAAGCCAAACCCGACTCCATCACTCACCTCCTGTGTGACCTTGGGCAAGCTACTCAGCCTCTCTGTCTCCTTTTATTCTTTGTAAAATGAGGGCAATAATAGCACCTACTGCATAGGGTCATTCATAGGAATTAATTCATTGATGGATTCACTTTTATTCATCTGTCACTGAACCTGTCCCAGGCTCCCGCTGTGCAGTGGGGACACTGCACTGAAAAAGACAGATCCGGTCATACTCATGAGATAATTAATCCCTGCAAAGTGCTCAGCACTCTGCCTGGTACACAGAAGGCACCTAATCAGTGCTAAGCTGCTCTTATGCAGGGCCCAGGGCACGTCAGTGATTCAGTGAGGCCCCCTAATGGGTCTCTCCCCAGGGCTCAGGCCTGGCTCCATAACCCCCACGTTGGCCAACACCACCACGGTAGCTGGGGAGCTCCAGCTCGGACACTGCATGGCTGTATGTCCGTGGCTGACTTGCTTAACCTCTCTGGGCCTCCATTCCCAACACTGACAGAGACAGGGTCCATTGGGCGGCTTCCCCACGCCTCCCCCTCCTTACCTCTCACAGATCAGTGCCTCGGGGAAGCTGTTGGCCCGGACAAAGGTGCGGCTCAGGAACCTGTCGTAGCTGGTGGCCGAGTGGATGCTGGACGAGGAGCTGCAGTCCTCCTTCTCGGCCTGGCTCAGGCTCCCCAGGCTGCTGGAGGGGGAAGCCTCCACAGGCTGGTTTGGCAAGACAGTCTGCTTTAAGTTTTCATGCAGGGAAGGGTTGGAGGAACCATCGGCCAGAGGCTGGGGTGACGGGAGAGAAACCACACTCAGTCCGTGGGGCCTATTGTGACTTTGCTTCAGTAATTCCACCAGGAAGGCCAGGTGGGGGCAAACTGGGAGGGGAGGAGTGAACAGGTAGAGCTTCTCCCCCAGGGTCACATCCACACCCCAGGGACCCATGTCATGGCTCTTGTCCCCAGGAGACCAGCCTCTGTGCAATAGGCTCCTACCCCTTAGCTGTTAGCCTGGGTCTGTTCCCTGGTGGCCCACCTGCACCCCACACTCGGCTGCCAACTCTGACCTCCGCAGCAGGCCGCCTGCCCCCCTCCCTCTCCCGCCACTGGCTCAGACCCCTGGGTGTGCTCTGTCTGCCAACCCGCTGACCATCTAGCTCTTCCCCATCTACACTGACCTCGGCATCACCCTCCCGACCCCAGGCCTTCGAGGTGGCTCCCCACTGCCCTTGGATAGGCCCAAAGCTCCTTATCAAGGAACTCAAGCCCCATGCACTGCTGTGACCACGCGAGGTGACAGCCCAGTGCCTAGCGCGGCTGGAGGGCTCATCAGCTGTCCATTGCCACCTCTGTCCAGCCTGTCTTGCTGCTCCAGGATGTGCCTGCCCAAGCAGTCCTGAGCTGGCTGCCAGCTCCAAACCTCCCCTGTCATTTCAGACTTCTGGGCCTTTTCAGACTTCTGGGCCTTTCCAGACTCTGGTCCCCCTGCTGGAACAGCCCTCGCTCACTGCCTGCTGGGTGGAAGCATCCCTCCCCCGAGACACAGACCCATAGTCCTTCCCAGCCCATGCAGGCTTCTGCAGGCCTCTGCAGGCCTCTGGTCATTTCTGTCTTGCCTGGGCTCACACACCATCCTACCGGCTCTGCCCAGACCATGAGGGCCTCCAGGGTGAGGACGATGCTGTCCTGACCCCTGGATTACCCTAGTGCTCACCAGGAGCCTGCCTGGCCAGGGCTGTGGATGATGAATCACGCCCCTGCTCTGGGAGTTTGGCCCCTTCAACCGCCCACCAGATAGCTAAGTGCGGGGAGCAGTTTCCAATGTGCGTTCCTGGGAACAGTTCCAGTTACTGCTCCCTGTAAGTAAGGGTTCCGCAGAAAAATTAATTCGGGAAAGTCTGTGTTAAGTGAGGTGAAATCATTTCTTTGGTGCAGGACTTTGCAGAGCCTGGCTCCAGCTGTCTTCAAAAGCAAATAATCATTGAAAAAAAAAAAAACGAACAAATACTGAGTGCTCAGATGTCACACGCTACGCTAAGCCCTATGTCTATTATCATTTGACCCCCAAACAACCGGGGGAGGCAGGAGGGCCCAGCGGCCCCCTTTCCAGATGAAGAAGCGGAGGCTGAGTCAGGAAATGGCCCACAGAAAATGGTCGAGGTGGGAATTAAGACGGAGTCTGTGTGACTCCTCTTTATGGGCAGGAGAGTGGGTTGCATTTCTCTCCAGTACTGGGCCAGGGACTCTTTCCTTTTTGGAGACTCTCACAGGTCAATGGCCCCTGGAAACACCAGGGGATCTGCTGATCCCTGCAAAACCCCTGACCACAGGTGTGAATTCCCGGCTTCAGCTGTAAGACCTGCAGCCAGGTGACCTCGGGCAGGTCATTAGCCTCTCTGGGCCTCAGTTCCTTATGCACAAAGGGGCAATAACTGTGTGATTTACCTTATATGAAATGCCTAACACGTGACAAATGCTTAGCACTGTGCCAGCCCCCGCAGGACGTGTTCAATAAGGTGGGAGGGGGATGTGTGAGTGAGCAGCAAGCCTAGTAACTGTGTCCATGCCCGTGTTTGTATTAGCCTAGAACAGCAGGACACTGCCCAACTGTGCCGTCACCTGCTGTTCCTGGGGATACCTTGCTATACCCTGTCCCTGACAACGCTGTCATCAAGTGGATTCATCCTAAAGTTTTGCTTCATCACAAAGCCTCAAAATTATCCCTATTAAAAGGACTTGCTGTAAAACCCCCCAGACAGGACCAAAAATCACATACTTCATCTGCCTACTCCTGCCCCAATCTCTAGCACCTTACTGAGTAATCGCATTTCTCAGACGGAGCTGAGGACTCTCACCCGGAACTTCTGATTGATGGGATAGATGACTTTTGCCTTCAGAGCAAATGCTGTGATGTTGCTGTTGAAAGCTGGCTCACATTCCTGGGAAGGAAGAACAAATGACATGGGGCGCTTTCTGTAAAAGGAAGGATAAACCACTAAGAGTTACCGAACTGTCACATCCCATTTGTAACGGTGGCCTCAGGAAGGGACCATAGCAGGCACATTTAGATCCAAGTAGGTGTTCACTTGCTAGGTGGCTGGGTGAAAGGGTGGAGGGATGGAGGGATGCAGGGATGCAGGAAGGGATGGATGGATGGATGGATGGATGGAGGGAGGGAGGGAGGGAGGGAGGGATGCATGGACAGGAAAATGGATGGGCAGGTGGATGGATGGATGGATGAGTGGATAGGTAAATG